GAAACAAAAAGAAATATACATTTTTTCTTAGAACAAAAAATAAGAATTAAACAAACCAATGCAAGTATATTTAATAAAGTTGTTGGCACAGGTGCATAACGTATACGAGTACCAACTAAATCAACAAGTAATTCAATCATATCAAATATTCCATGTTGTATTTCACGTGGCCAGGAATATACAGATTGAGTTGTTTGTAACTATAGGAAAAAAAGTGGTTAGAGCTAGTTTTATTCAGCATATGTTCTTTAGTAATTTTTAACCATTATATTTCTACTGATATGGATCTATATTTTCTTCATTATTATACTTCGTCGATTTGTAAATTTCGAAGATCAAATCAAGGAAAATTTCTCTGTAACTGATTCTGATTAGTGTTCAGCTTCGTCGTTTAATTATAAACAGGATATGGTGACTTTAAGAGCGTTAGTAATTATAACTCCTGGTTCTCGAAATACGGTTAAAATTGTGTCGTAAAAAAAGAGATTTTCATTTATGTGTTGAACTTAAAGTGTATGAAAAAAATAGTTTGAATCATTAAGTTACAAACACTTCCAGAATCTCCTTAGTGGCAGTGAAGCCTCTCTATAGCCGAAAGATCCGCATTAGTTAAGACAGTTCTTTTGTAAATTTGCTATTTACTCTGCAAATAAAAACTTCTTCTATTTCTTGTTTATGTGTGTCGATGATTATCACTTCCTATATATTTCTCAGATGATCATGGTGTGATTCGCTCAAACTTGAATTCAGAATATTAAACAAACAAACATATTCTTTCAGGAAGTTAGTTACATATAATTATAATCTCGGTAAAAATTCAAATTTTACAAGAGTTCTATAAAATAATACATACTTTTCGAAAAGCTTCGGGTACAATTTTTTCAATAAGTTCTTTGCATTCAACATTTGAATCAAGTTGACCTTGAAATAGAAAATGAAAAACAAGAATATTAAATATTCTTTTCTAAAAATACCTACCTTCTTGTGCTAATATAATCGCTGATGTAAGACAAACACCCAAGGCTTCATCTAATTTAACTGGTATATACCATTTATCAACAAGAATATTGTTTCGAAGATTTTGAAGTTTATCCGTAGGGAAAGCAGTTACTTTTGGTAGATTTAATTCTACTATTTTCGGTTTTTCTATATGATATATGCCATCAAATGTATGTACATCATCAATATAAATCGAAAGTATAAGTGATTTAAGACCATGATCTCGAGCAAACTAGACGAAAAATAAAAAGAGGATTATTAGGTAAATATAAAATCAGTAGATTTACTTTAACATTGGTATCAAATTCATCTTTATTTTCAATACGAATTTGTTCTTGTTCTTCATCTATCATACATATTTTAAAATTTTTCTTTATATTACGACATAAAAATTCTGCCTATAGAAATAAAATATATAATAGTAGAAAAAGATTATTTCGTTAATTTACGTACATATCGAACTAATCCATTCCAATCAGTTACTTCAACCGAATTTTGTTTATTATCTGTGTCAGCCGAATTGGATGACATTTTTTGATAAATCTTCTTTGATTTAAGAATAAAATAAAAATGACAAAAATCTAAAGATATTTTGTTTATATATTTCAAAAAATATACGAAGATACTTCGAGAGTATTACTAATATCGATAATAAGCGTGTACTCGTGATAAATAGTTAACGTTGTGCAAGACAAAGACAGACTCTTTCGAGAAGGACGAAAGAAAAAAAAATAGGAACGCATATGATGAGTATATAAAATAGAGTATGAGAAGAAAAAAAAGAGAAAATAAATACATCCGACCGCCATAATGTCGCGTTCTCGAGTCATATGGGAGGTTACAATATAAAGAAAAGAAGAAAAAAAAAGAATCATGAAGTATTATATTTATGAAGTTAACGAAAAAGACCCAAATTGACTATCTCATATAATATCAAACGATGAATTGTAATAGGATACATGATGATATTATTTCAAATTGGTTTGAAAAAGACCGGCTTACAGTCATGATCATTTCTGTCTAGTATATATTCACTATTGACGAATGTATTATTTAAGTCAAAGCAAGATCTTATTCATGCATATATGAATTTGATTCTTAATATAAAATCATTTCTCTAAAAAAAATTATCTATCATGAATATTTTGTTTTATCATTATTTCGCGATTTCCATAAAAGACATTGCATCATTCGCATGTTTTCATATCATTAGTAAGAAGTAGATCGAATGTCTATATACAGTGATATACATGAACGAATAATTATCAGTCCTTAGCAATAATTTGTCGCATAAGAGAACATATTAAATTGTTTACACATTTATTTCGTTAATTATAAGTAGACCTTAATCGATTGTAGAAGATACATTTATTTCTATTGTATCAAAATTTTCTTTTGATAAATGTTAGAGCTATTTGATCTACATAATTCTAGTATATTTGGCTTAATATAATTTGTCTAAAATCTTCATACCTGTTTAAAGTCTATAAGTGAATGTATACATTTTAAATATATGAAATTCTATTCCTTTTGGTAAAACAAAAATTTTTTTTTATCAAGTGTAACTTTAAGACAATAATTCATAATTCTATATAGTCATATGTATTTATAAATCTAAAAAGAAAACAAAGCGAAATGTTTACTAGATACTGTTTTTCTTAAGTTGATGATGTTTTATTTTAATTTATTCTTATTCTCGGTCAGAGATAATATGAATAATTGACGATAGAAACAGCAAAACAAAACAAAAAAGAAAATAACAATATGTTCGTTGCTGTTATCGTTTTCAATCTAATATCTTATTGTTTAGAATTTTTGAAATTGTTTCTTTGAACCGGCTGCTTTAGTGACCTTGAGAACATTGAATCGAACGGTCTTACATAATGGGCGACATTCACCAATAGTTACAACATCACCGATTTGTACATCACTAATATAAAATATTTATCAATAAATAATTATTTATATTCTTTTGAAAACTATCATACCGAAAACATGGACTTAAATGTACGGACATATTTTTATGACGTTTTTCAAAACGATTATATTTTCGTACGTAATGTAAATAATCTCGACGAATAACAATTGTTCTTGTCATTTTAAGTTTCATAACTGTACCAGTAAGAATACGACCACGAATGCTAACATTGCCGGTAAATGGGCATTTTTTATCGATGTATGTGCCTTCAATAGCCTAATAAGAATAGAATTAATTAAATTGAAAAGTTTGTTTATTATTTACTTCTCGTGGTGTTTTGAAACCTAAACCAACATTACGTGTATATCGTTCAGCACGACCTGTTTTGCTAGCTTTGACTACAGCTTGTTTTCTATTTAAGAAAATAGTTGGTTGTTTTTGAAAAGAACGTTCCTAAAAAATAGAAAAATTTACATGATGAATAATAACATATGTTTTTTCATACGTGTTCCATTGTTGATTAAAAATGATGGTTAACACCTGTGAGAAAGATCTAAAACGAATAAAATATATTGAAAAGAAGTTCTCAAAAAAAAAGTTTCTGGAACGATTAGAGTCATCTAGCTGAAAAGAAAATAATCGGTTTGGATGTGGTTGTTCGACCTCACCAATACACGCCATGAAAAATCAGATAAAGTCTCCGTTTATAAATTGAAGAAAACAAAGATAAAATAACGTTTTATTCATCTTAAAACTTCTTCTGAATATTTTTAGCTTTATACCAAGAATTTTTATCATGAAATGATATATTGTCAGGAATTCGGTAGATGTCGCTATCAAACAAAATGATACTTTTATATCTAATAGATGGTCTACTAGTTAACAATAACTAAATTCGAAAATGCTTAATTCATTTGTTTATTGATCTTATAATTTTGATTCATAAAATTTAAGAATATTTTCAAGCCTGAGATAGTATACCTACTCGAATACGGAACTTTACCTAGTGATAAAGAGAGTATCGAGATATACACGAAAAAATCTATGATCAGAAATTATATAACAGCTATTAATAAACTTATCATATTACAATCGTTCATGTTCACAATGATGATCAACTTCATACAGAAAAATATCGGTAAAATCTTTGAAAACGATTAAGATATTTACAATAGCAACATAAATATTAATTTCTATTTGAACCGGAATATTTCATACGCCTTAATAAAATCATCAAGATGGCTTTCAACATAGACACAATCATTGACTCTTTGACTAATGAAAATTATCGGTTATTCATATTTACGAAAAAATAAAAGATAGTAAACATGTAGATATGACAAAAAGATCTTTCAAATAGGAAAATTACGTGGATCCTTTTGCTTTTATATTATCGTTTTAAAATAACTGAATGATAAAGGAATTTTTGTACTAAATTTCTCGTATCCTCTGTCTGTGGTCATTTTCGTTATCTGAATCTTTATGACAAATTTACTAATTAATAGTTCACTATCGTCATTACAAGAAATAAATTATTATATTCGATTGATCTGATTAATTTTTAGGAATATGTAAATAGGAAAGAATCGAAATTTAGTATAATGATAATGACTTTATTGTAAAAATTTTCACTGGATAACATACTGTTAAACAATATACATATCATTTTAGACTTTTAACTTAAAACATTTCTACTTCGAGTATTATTTCTGCATTATATATATATATGTATGCGACAATCATATTGACTCTTTTACTCGAGGGTGGAATATACATTCTATGCATGCAGAATTAACCTACGTATTCTCTCAAATGATTGTATATTTGTGATATTGAAAAAAGAATTGCGTCAACATAGAACCCCTTTTTTTCTCTTTCGTCCTTTGATTTCTCCTTTTTTTATATTTGTTTAGTGGTAAAAAGCGAGAATAAATACGACTGAATAATTATCTGACACATAAATATTGGTGATTAAGTGGTGCGTAGAAACAGTAATATAGTACAGAATAGAATTTTGACGATCATGGATAAGCAGAAAATAATCAATAAGAAAACATGTTTCATGTTATTATTACTGATAACGATGGTGAATAGTTTTGATAATCGATATAAACATCGTTCGTCGATTCTTCGAAATCTTCAAAGTTAGTATCGAATATTCTTAATTCATCAATTAATAAATATTCTATTTAGATTTATTAGAAGATGATGAACAAGAATTTCATTTAAAAACTCGAAATAGTAAGTTGTTTTAAAATGACTGTAATATATATATATATATAAAGATATCCGAAGTTTTCAAAGCATTTTAAATATATATAACGAACAAATATAGAGATTATTCTAATAAAATTGTCAGTTACAAATAATTATCATATAACATGTATGTGACATGAATAAAAATTATAACCAATTTTCTTTCGTTATAAATTGACTGATTCTATTTTGTTAATATATTTTTAGAACAATATGAAAATAATGAAGAAAGTGATGACGTCGAATCAGGTATGTTGATATTTTAAATACTGTCGAACATATTAATACAGGGACTTTTCGTACCAAGCTTTTTACTCAGACTATTGTATACGATTAATATGAAATATTAGTAGTGAAATTTTAATACTCATTAGTTAATTATCATTTAGGGTTTAGGTTTCCTATTGTATGTTTTCTGACAGAATATTTCGTATTAAATCGAGATTCAAGAGTGTGCATTATTTTATTATTGTATAAAACACTTCACAGTTTACCTGTCAAATATCAGGATGAGAATTTAATAAGAGTAAATGTACGATAGATATTTTGACAATCGAGAAAAAAAAACAACATAGGTCAGTATTTTATCTGGAATAAACTATCGGATAGAATCACTGATAAGACCTTCTACATCATCTGTGCAGTTCTATCCATATTAATTATAAAAAGAAACTTGTAATAACCACTGTTTCTCCAGATCGTCGAATTTTCGATCATGATGAACAATATATGGAAGTACGTGCAACTACCGGAACAAACGAAACAAATACTGGTAAATATTGATTATTTGCATTTTTTTTTCTAATTTTATATTCAGGACCAGAAATAACACTTCAAAATCGTGCTGCAATGAATACTCGTCTTCGTGTTCTCTATACTGATGCAAATGGTACTCCAGCAATAGCTGAAACTGGTCGATTATGGACTGGACAAACAAAATCTGTGAAACTTCCAGTAGGTTCTAAGAACATAAATATTATCGTTGAAAAAGATCTATTTTTTGAAACATGGCGTGTAGCATATAAAGGTACATTAACTAATGAAAATCAATGTGTACGTATTGTTGGTGTAACACTTTTTTCAAAAATTCATCCGTGCAAATAAAAGATTAAATATAACAAAACAAAACAAAAACAGCAATAAAACAAAAATGATTAATTACTACATTACATGTGTTTCTTTTAGTACAACATGATTATAAATAAAATTGCAATAATAAAACATTCAGTTTTAGAGAGAGATATATATATACATAAAGTAAAACAAATAGAGATGTGTAAAAGAGATTAAGTTTTAGTACTCATTTTGAGAAATAGAAGCGTTCTGAATAGCTGCACGCTAAAATAAAATAAAATCATGTAATAGAATAAAAGAAGAGCAAAAAAAAAAGAAATATTTTACCCATATATCTAAAATATCAGTAACAGTATGTTGAGTCGGCAATTGAAACAAAAAGTAAACAAAATTTCGTGATATTGATTCAAAAAATGTATTGCCATCTATTAATAAAAAGAAAATCTTGAGTGTTATGTATGATGTGTTGAAAATCATGATCTTTTAAGAAATTCATTTATCAATCAAACGATATAACTGATCTTTTTCGTGATCTTATAGAAGAGAATACACTACATATATATGGGATCTCCGAAATTCATCAGTGTCATTACATATGTATAAAAATAGCTCCTCGTGACTATATTGAGGTACAGGGGCCTAGCGAGGTTCCGAAGCCAGGGAGGGCGCAACACCCTTTTTGCTTCAAACTAACACGTAACAGCCCTTGTTTTTGATTTTATTGACAAAAAAAAAACCAAAAATTTCCAAAGCAGGGAGGCGTGACACCCCACGCGCCTTCTACTCGCTACGCCCCTCAATGAGGGGTTTAGATTATAATATGCTTATTCTGACAATACTAAGTTAATTTGTCATATGCATTTCACACTAATCTTGTGTTGTTACAGTTAGCGAAAATCCACTGAACTTACGCTAGATCGCGCCTGAACTTTCGCCAATTAGCGAAGAGACAGTAAGCCATATATGTAAATATCTTACAGTGGAGAATTTAGGGGGGGGCAGTCACTCCCATCGCCGCCCCCCCCCCTTCCGAATTTTTTTTTTATTTTTCACAGCAAAAATGAACGAAAAAATAGGTTCACACTACTTCGATTAGACTCAAAAAACAGCTTTTTAGCCAAAATCGTCTTCCCCTCCCCGGGTATCGCCCCTTCTAAAATCCTAGATCCGCCACTGATATCTTACCTGAATTTTCGAGTCTATTTGGTGTTGTATTCATTGTTGTTGATACTAATGAAAGAATCTCAGGTGATACATTTGGATATTGTATTGTTAATTTCATTTTTAATGGTGGAACAATAGGCATATTATTTTCAACAAAACGACATGTTAGTTCATAATCATGAATAAGTAAATCTTTATTTTTAAGTATTGATGGCGATGATGATATTTTATCATACATAGGTTTTAATTCATATGAATATGTATTCGTTGATAAATGAGCAAATTCACTTTCAATTATATTAATTAATGATGTATCAGAATGAGTATTTGCTAATGGTGGATTTTGATCAATGATCTGTTTTGATTCGGAATCCAATCGTATAGTTCTAAAATTTTCATAGATAATAATTGAAATCATGTTAGTCTTAGAATTTTTGTTTTTACATACTTATGTGGTACACCATTAAGAACTTCACTTAATGGTTCTAAGAATCGTTTTGCAATATTAAATTTTAATGTTGGATCTTTATTTAAATAATCAACAATTGTACGTTGACATTGTTCAAAAATTCCATTTGATATTAAACGAGAATTATTTGTACTTGATGGTACTGTTGTTGACGTATCATTAATTGGTGGCATCATAATTGGTCCAAGCATACGATCAACATGTTCTTTGAGACGACGTGCAGACATTAAATGTTCAGGAATAGGATTTCGAACAAAATTCGACATTTGATCTTGTAATTGACGATATTTAGCTACTTTATCATGTTGACCTAATGAAGAGAAATAAAGAATTTCAAAAACTTCATACTTTAAATGTACCGTCTTGTTGATATCGAGCAATTACTCGAGTCAGATGTAGAATACGTTCATTAAAGAATTTGAAGAGAAAATGCATTTCATCATCAATCATTGCCGTTGGACTACCAGTATAATCTATAGGAAAAAAATAATGTTTTAGTATTTATTTGAAGTTTATTATATGTTCTTACTTATCATATTCATTGGTGATGCTTGTGGACGGTAAAGACTATTTTGTGGAGATTGGGCCATCATGTAACGTGCTAGTGGACTTTGTCCAGGTGGACCTATAGATGTTGGTTGTTGTTGTTGTTGTTGTTGCATCATACTTGGATGAGAATGAGGTGATACAACACTACCAGATGTTATCATTGGATCAGAACCTCTGTAAGAAAAATTTTGTTGAAAATCGAATAAGAAAAGGCTTTTTTCACTTACGGAGGTATTGGACTTGGCTGTTGTTGTATCGTAGCTTGAGCAGCAGATGCTGGTTGATTACGAACATTTCGATTCATCTATAAAATGTTGGTTTTATTTAAATGTTTTTACATGATTTCATACATACGTTACGTAGTCTAACTTGTGCTGCATTTTGAACAGCATTCGATGGTTGTTTAGGTGGATTAGGACTAGTGAGAATATGTTGAAGAACTAAATAAAATATAATTTTAAATATGATGAATACAACAAAAAGAGATATTTACTTTCATCTTGACTACCAGATGATGATGATGATGGTTGAGGTAGTACTGAAGACGCTGCTGGTTGTTGTTGTTGTTGTTGTAATTGAGAAGAATTAGGTGAGTCTTGTTGTTGTTGTTGTTGGTTGAGATGATTCTGTTGACGTACTTGTTGAAGATGCTATACAATAAAAGTTAATCATCTTTTTGTTTTACAAAATTTTAAGAAGAAGACCATGCATATTAATTGTTTAAATCCTTATACTATTGAAGAATCTTTTATCCAGTCAAATAGATAAATCCTTTGGTGTCGGAGTTTTTTTAAAGAAATTCTTCACAAAGATATTTTGAATAGTTGACTGATTTTTCATGTTTTGTTGCTTTAGAGTATACATGATATTTCCTTAGGGTAGCTGATCATAAGGTAGTCGAGGATATAAATGTAGTCGTAAATGCATTATTAGTCTTTTTTAGGAAAACTTTCGTTTTTGCATACCAATATATATATAGTGTATAAATCGTTCTACTCATCAAAAAGAATAAGACTATGCTACGTTCGATACATATCAGTAATATCATATTTAACACTTTCTTATATATATTTAAAGTAGATGTTGTCGATGACATCTCTGGATATTTATCGTTTAAATTGACTTTTTAATCGAGGTTTTAACAAACCTGAGCAAGTGTACGTTGTACTGGTGTTGGTGCTGTCGGTTGAGAAGGAAGAATAGTTGAAGCTTGCTGTTGTTGTTGTTGTTGTGGCATGTATTGAGATGGTGGAGGTGGCAATGGTTGTTGTTGTTGTTGTTGTTGTTGTTGTGGTCGCATTTGTGAGATTTGTAAACCAGGTTGCTGTTGCTGTTGCATTGTTGATGTCATTAGTTCTTGTTTGATTTGTTGTTGTTGCATTGTTGATGTCATCAATTCTTGTTTGATTTGTTGCTGTTGTTGCTGTTGTTGCTGCTGTTGCATGGAAAAATTTTGTATTGGTGCTCTTGGTTGAACATTAGATGGAGGAGCTTGCGGTTCTTGTTTAACACTTATCATAGATGTTGGTTGAACGTTTGATGATGGTTGCACTCTGTAGGAAGATTGAACTGTTGTTGGTGGTGGTGGTTGCTGTTGCAGTTGTTGTAGTGGTGGTTGTTGTTGTTGTTGAAGCATTCCAGCCATTTGGCTTTGTTGCGGCTGCATGTACATTTGTTGTTGGCCCTGTGAATTCATCATCGTTTGTTGTTGCTGTGGCTGTGGCTGTTGAAGCATTGCAGTCATTTGTGTTTGTTGAGGTTGCATATACATTTGTTGTTGGTTTTGTGAATTTATCATTGTTTGTTGTTGTTGTTGCTGCTGCTGTTGTAGCTGCTGTTGTTGTTGTTGTTGTTGCTGCTGTTGCTGCTGCTGCTGCTGTTGTTGTTGTTGTTGTTGTTGTTGTTGTATTTGCTGACTTCTCTGTTGTAGTAACAATTGAATCACTCGTTTATAAAGTGCCTAAAATAAAAAAATCTCCATTTCTGATAAACAAAAAAGAAATCAATTTACTAATTTTCCACCACTTCTATTATATGCAATATCATCAAAACGCACTGCCGAATCTCGATTACCACCAAAATGACTTGTTCTAAAAGAAATTTTTAGTTAAATATTGTTACGATTAAAAGTATAGATTATTTATTTACAGTCGTCCAATGAAGTTTTCTCTTTCGTTTATGCTGATCATTTGTTGATCATCGGATGTACCTGTACCATCTGTATTCATCATCTTTATCTAAAACATATATAACATTTATGGAATTTTGATTTATTTCTTTGAGTGATGGTACACCGGTGTCTGGTGTTATCTATATATAATAAAAAAATGAACAAAAAAACAGCACCAAACAAAAAAGACAAGTAAAGCATTAAGAATCATTTGAGCCGAATAAAAGAAAAGTATATTTATGTGTTTGTTGAATTATTTAAACGCTTCTTCCAAAACCATTTTTGATATTGATTTGTTGCTTCACAACTTGACATAAATACATCTTTATCATTTCCTTGTGATAATTCAATACAAAAACCTGATGCATGTCTCAACATATCATCCTAAAAATTAAAAAAAATGTTTATTTATTTCTTTTCATTATAGTTCTACTAAATCAAATCAATGTACTTCATATTTCCACATTTGATTTCCTTGCATTGAATGGCAAGAAAATGAGACAACTTTTCCTGGTTTCTTTAATTCACCTTGTCCACCAGCATAATCTAGACATTTTTCTTCGCGACGAATCTCGAATGTTTTTGACATAAGAAAATATTGATTTCCACCTTGACCATGACATGGATAACCAATAATAGATTTATCACCATCTTCAAGTTCTTGTGAATCAATGCACA